CATGGTCTTAAAATAAGTGAGGAGAATTTGCTACCTTTCTATAATCAAGAAATGGATAGATATTCTAGTCTTCTCGGATAAGGACGAATAAACCGTAGGTCCGGTCTCCTGCAGGGTTAGGGGTAGGAGACGTTAATTTCCCACGCACGAGATTACTGTGTTGTGGATGTCCTCCCCTTGGATGGGATGGGTGGGAATTGGTCCTGAAAAGCCCCCATGGGGAGTGGTCAGCTAACGTATGTATGTATGTATGTACTGACTGACAGACTGACTGCCTGACTGACCGACAGATTGACTGACTGACAGACAGATTGACTAGGTGACAGACTGACTGACTGACTGAATGACTGACAGGTTTTTTTACAGATTACTATAGACTGACTAACTGACTGACAGACTGAATGACTCTTCATTGACTGACTTAGTAACAAACAAAAAAGAAAGCGGATCTTGAATGATTAAATATATTTGACACTGTTGTGCTTATCTTTTTTCCTTTTTTTCCTCCTTTTTTTCAGGTTTGAGGCGAGAAATCTTTACAATGATATCTGAAAACACTTGTGTCTCACCTAGAAAAACAGTCAAGGAGTAGCAAAACTCTATAGAGATGGCAAAGTTATAGAACAGAAAACGATTACAAATAGCAGGAACGCTACCGTTAAATCTGGCGGCGCTTTGGTGCTTGGACAAGAGCAAGACTCTGTTGCTGGAGGTTATGACCCAAAGCAAACTCTTCACGGCCGATTGGCAGGTGTCAACATTTGAGATAAAGTTCTGTCCGAAAGCGACATTGCCGCCCAGTACACGTGTTGTAGCATATCTCATGGTTCTGCTCTTAAATGGTCTGCATTCAAAAATCTTACTGATCGCAATGTCACAGTTGAAGAGCCGTGAACTGTGTTGTTCAGTGATCAAACGCTCTAGACTCATAACTCACGTGCTGTAAAATTGCTTAAATTAGAATATTTATTATATGCAGGCTGGATCATGTGGCACAGTACTAAGTATAGACAACAAAATATTACATGATATTGCGGTTAAACGTTGCTTACTTTTGCTAGGTCTTTGGAAAACATTTCATTATATTTATTCACCCATCTACTTAGTTGTTTGATAAAATACGTTTAAGTTACAGGTAAATTTTTAGGTGACAGGTTTTTGCACTAAAGCTAAGACAGCTACCCGTTTTTACAGTAAGGAACCTTAACAAAATGAAAATTCTTTTCTCTGTTCTCATTTATTCATGATTCTTGAGAATTAATCAGGGGGCATTTCAAGATTTTTTAAGATCCAAAAGTGAATTTGAACATTGAGAAGCAAACAGGACAAGTGTTCATGCTTTAAATGTGTGCCTAGATAAAGCGCTGTACTGATGTTTGACGCCGGTGTTGTGTGGTAAACCTTCGTCTCTGCAAAGTAGCGCGCTAAAATGTTTACATGATTTGTTCACTCAATTCTCAAATTACAAATTATTATACATATCGTTTTAACTTGTTAAGGAAGTGAATAACATGTAACTGTTTGAATGATATACTACCTAATGACAAATGCAACTCAGAAACGTTGAAAATACAAAATGGCTACAGCGCTGCCAACCAATTGCTCTTTGACTGGTAGTTTTTAAGGGTTTACACTGCAGAAAACATTTCGAACTTAATTAAAAAATCATATATAACTCTATAACATATTGACTTACTTTCAAACTGCATCAGACAAAGACGGCACAATCTTGAGATTAGATCTTGATGCAACTCTTATCAGTATAGCTAATGGTTTCACGTAAAAATATAAGAATAATAATAAACATAAAAAACAGAGCTTTTTATAATTTTGCGGGGGAAGGAAAACATGGGTTTCACGTGCAAAAATACGGGCCTAATAAGTGTCTTTTGTTCAAACGGCAACTCAGAAAGAGGACTTCGATTGAAAATTAACTAGAATTTCGCGAATGGCTGCATGTGTTTGTCGTCTCTTACGGTGCCACACCTCAACTTCTGCATGACGTCTGTGAGTAGCGTTTGATCCGGGTTTCTGTTTTAAGACCAAGCTGATTTCACGTTGTAGTTTTGCAGAGGACGGCTAAGAACTGTACTACACTTAAAAACACACTTTACCGTTGCCGTCGTAGCTTGCTTAAGGTCCCTACAATTCATTCAAGCCCAAACAATGTTTTTGTGCACTTAGTCTAAACAACAAGCATTCAATCAAAACAGCAGTTCTTAAACGCTGCCAAAATGTTCTAAGCCCTACTAAAAATGAAGGCAGCTAGGAAAAAGTTACGTTACAAACTCAAGGTTTATAAGTTACGGTAATAAACTCAATTTAATCCGTTCCACACTGGATTCGAAGTAGGAATATTTTCTTTATTGTCAAGAGGATGGTCTCCAAGGAAACTGTACATAAACACCTTAAAAGCGACTTTGTGAATTGACCGAGTGAAAATCGAAAAATGTGGCTCATGTTTAGAAAATTGAAAACCTTCACATTTTTCCCAGAGACACCTAATAGTAAAGACAGAAACGTGGTAAAGTTTTTTTTCCCCAGACTTCCCTCTTTATCCTAGAAAATTCACGAAAACTGAAACGAGCGTTGGTAGCCGTAATATGGCGGAAATCAGTGCCCCGATTAGAGGCAAATGAACTTTGGTCATGAAAAGCGCAAAAGAAGGCAAGCTGCTATCAATTTTATAAATTTGAATAGGAGGAATAGAGGTATGGTTTTAATCTGCAACAGGACCATTTCATCTCATATTGACCTCACGGAACGCTTTTGAAAATCACCAATATTTTAAAACCCAAATGTCACATATCTTGGCAAATTTTCAATTATCATTTGCCCCATGCGGTATAACTCAGAATCGGTTCAGATTAAGCTCATGATAAGTGGAAATAGTATCGTTTTCGAGGATATAAAAATTAGTTGCATTTCCGCATGGAAAAACCAGGTTGAACTTTGTGAAAATCACAACATCGGTATTTTAATACGTCACGACATAATCTATAA